CCCCCCCCCCCCCCCGAACCAAACGTCATGACTTTCTCGTCTTGTGGTAACTTATCAACATAATCACTCATTACATTCCATCGTCTGTCCGACTCTCTCTTGTTGGAATGTAAAATGGTGTGAGTTCAATGCCGGGATCTGTACTTCACAAAAACCTGGCTTGGTTTCAAGGGTCAAACCCAATCAATAATCGTTCTTTGCAACTGTAAAGCGGTGCTGTACTTTCGAACAGTATACGTTTACCAACTGGTCTAAGAGTGGCACTATATCACTGGCAAACTTAGTTTGCCAGTGATATAGTGCCACTTACTTGAAATCCCAAATACCTTGTCACACATTTCAGAACAAATAATTTATATGATTTTTTTCTGTGTTGGTGTAATGTACTCAGGTGAATATGATGCTTGTGATGTTACTCCGAGTGTGTATCCACATCGGACAAGCTTGAGAAATATGCCTGGCCACGGTGGGAATCGAACCTACGACCTTTAGAATACCAACCCAATGCTCTGCCAACTGAGCTACGCGGTCAGGTCGGTTCGAGTATGTGATATTTCCGAACGGAATCTAGTTCCTTCGATATCAATGTAATCTAGTAATCATGATTTTTGTATCTGCGAAGCAGATATATTGCTATCGCAAACGTGACCGTCAGTGTTACCGTATGTTAACACATAGCCATTCAGCGACGAGCTTATATAATTTAAGCCAATTTAAGCCAATCAGCGATTCGTTTACATCAATTGTTTACATCGTGCCCGTATCTAACCTGCGAACGGGCATACTTTAGCCTCGTCAGGCCTCGTGTATAAATCGTGTTTATATTCCTTCCAAAAATATCTTGATATTTTTATCAATTTATCTTGAATTGGCTGGCTTTTTTTCTCGCCATTCTACTTGCGATATTATTCCGAAGTTATTTATCAACATGGAATCTTATCCTCATCTGGTAAGTAGTCAAATACCACATATTATATATTTAAATACCAAATTTGTGCAAATATATGTCCCACATATTTAATAATACATGAGTTCGCCAGTTCGGCAAATATTTACTATACTATCTATAGTTAATATTGCCGTATCTTCGGCGTAGAGTTTACATGGAATGCACTCTGGAATTTTTTATTAATATATTACACTGTATAAAATATTGGATATTTTCGAGGATATTTTAAGCCATTTATCAACATAGTTCAAAAGATTTATACAGTATTAAAAACAATCCTTCTGTGACTTCTGTAATATTTTAAACAGTGAAAACATTCTCAGGAGATATTGAATTAAATCCTGGTCCTGTATTTCTGTATATTGACTCCGTAACTCTGTTCAAAACAACAGTCCAACTATAAAGCTGTCATCAAATGTAGTGTTAGAACAAAGGTTGAAGATGTTATCAGTTAAAATACTTATACATTTTGGTTTTACACATTAGAGTTAATTAAACAAAATTTTTACCAACATTTTCAAATAAAAGAATCCTCACCCTCCCGAGCCTCATTACATTGTCATTTTGCTTTCTAACATAAATATTTTTCTTTAAAGATTAATACAAGAATGAAGAATAAATGTACTGGATATTGGCTGGATAATTTTGTCAGAACAACCAACTTGCAAGACAATCTTACCTAAATTCATTAGTATGGAAAATAACTTAACAGCTACAATGAGTAATCATATATTATATGGTGGATTTGATCAATGGCACACAATGTACAAAACTAAACTTGTGATACCTTCTACTCAAACCGATAATCTCCCACAACACAAATTGTTTTTGTGTGGATATGTTGTGTTAAACCGAACAGTGTGGTATATCATTAACTGTGCACAGGATTGGAATTTAATTATATACTTCATTCATGACCTTTAAAACATTCTCTACTATTCAGTGGTCTTCGATATATGATGGACTCTTTGCTACAGTATAGCATGTTCCTCGAATAGTTTGGTGTATGTTACTCACGTTGGCAAGTGTAAACAACAAGTGACTGAACTTTTGCTTCATATGATTACAACAAAGTTTTCAAAATGGGTATGGATTGACAAGTGACCGTTTACTAAATAGACACTGCGAATATTGTTTGCATGAAATTTTTATTTTTTGACTGCATAATTATCCGGGTTACAATCATAATCTCATAAAATTAGTGGGGGGGGGGGGTTGAGTTGCCCCTGCTGCCCTCTGTGCTGTCTACAGCCTTGTTAGATTTGTACTATGTTTGACTTTAAAATCTTATTTGCTATTATATTTATTATAATAAGTGATGAAAATGTGAATCAAGTTTTTTCGCAGATACATGTACGCGTCGCGTACCTATTTTTCGGTATGTCCGGAAAATTTTTTTCGTATTTAGGAAAAATTGTGGTATGTCCGGAAAATTTTTTTTACCCCTAAAATGGTACACTGACCAAAAAATGTTTGGCGACGGGGGGGGGGGGATAAAATAATTTTTAGATGCCCTTTCATTTTCATTAGTGCCCTTTTGTTAAGGAATATGCCCTCTTGTTAACCAATTGCACCCCTTGCACCCAGCAACTTCCGGCATCCCTGATTTTTACAAAAACAAGTTTGGAAACAGGATTTAGTCCTCCAGCTTGATGTCATATTCCATTTATTTGGATATTTCAATAAAGGAATGTGAAATAATAATTTAATCTTGTGCAAAATTTGATACCAACACACATGTGAACAGATACTATCACCTAAAAATAAAAGAAAACAGAACTTAAATTTATCATCTAATGCTATGAAAAAAATCTTAGATACTACAGGCATATAGTGAGCACAATTATTTAACAAACTCACTAAAATAAGTTAAGTTATACTATGATAAGAGGATGGCAATAGATAACAACATCAAATGTTGTCATCTTCAGTGTCCAAAAAAAGTGCCGCGCACATTTTTCATGGTCGCATAACTGGTATTGCCACAAACCCAGGTGAAAAAGCAATTAGAAAAACCTGGTTTTGGGTGATGAGCATAGTCAAATTCTTGACTTATTCAATTTTCTATGTTTTTCCAGGTAAACAGATTAAACATTGAAATAAGCCGCATTCGGGACCTCATAGAATCCAAAATATTGTGTATGGACCAGACTTTTTTCAATTTTCTGTGATTTACATAACACTAGTTATAATTTAAGGGTCAACCAGTATTGTTCAAGACATATTTTCCTTCCAGAACACCTTTTCAAAATACTAACCCCAACATATCAAAAATAGTGTACATTTACAAGGGCAATTTCAACCCTCTGGCACATTTTTCCCATGAATGATTTCAATTCTAATAAAAAGACTATAGATAAAACTTTGATTTAAAGCTAGTTTCAAGTGATGAGCATACCATAATTTTTAAGCTATACCTCAAAGAAGATGGGCCATTTCAACATAAACATTGAAATATGGGTATACTGACAGCTCTGTCACACGTGTAGTTTGACATTAGCAGCCCTTCTGAAACATTTTAATGAAAGTATAAGTCACAAAATTCACATTTTCACTTACTTCTTAACATCTGTTTTAATCCAACTAGCTCTGTAGGCACGAGCGAAATTTAGTGTTGATGTAAATATCCATTTAGTTCATGTTTCCCCGGTGAAAATATAGTCTATTCCAAAGCTGATTTCGACGTACTTTAGCTTTTCAGAAACCGTTGGCCTTCCTCAGTGAGATTATGAACTGTTTCACAAACATATTTGATAGTAAACAGCTAAAATATTCTCCGAAAGTGTATATTTTTGCTCTTCGACGAGAAAATGGCAACTCAAGAAGAAATGAGCCGCTATTTTTGGTCAGCGTCGACAAATTGCCCACCTGTTGTTCAGTGGGCTTTCAAAAGTTTTATATAATTAATATCAAACACAATTGTGGACCTGTGTGATAAAGTATATCTTTTTTTGGGCATTTACTACACGGCCGTCATGTTGGTGGTCTGAGATTGCGTAATATTGGAATATAATAAAGCTATTTATATAAGCTATAATAAAGCTATTTACAGGAGATTTATAAAAGGAAACTAAATTAAATTGGCGTGACCCGGTCGTATATTAAGATCAATAATTGATTATATCTAACAATATAATTGTTTTACAAAATTTTTGAAAAAGTAAATTGGAAGGTTATTCGAAAGTTTAGCACTACTGCACTTAAAGCTTTTTTTAAGAAATTCGCGTCTCGGTTTAGGAAGGGCCAAATCAGTGTGAGAATTTCTGAGGTCATAATTAGTCTGTTTGTAGAGAATTCCTCCTCATCAATAACTCGTTCAAATTTGGTGCACTACAATCGTTCAGAATTTTATATAATAATGCTGCCTTGTCATCGTCTGGAATCTAAATTTTCCCATTCAAGAGCCCGAAGAACCTCAACAGACTTGATCTCATAGCTAGCACCAACTATTTTTCCGATTTTGAAACTTTTGTAACTTATCGACTCGTGACTCGACTGTTGGTGACTCATTACAACACTGCTATTTGGTTTATTAATTATTAACATAATAAACGAAATCCAACACCGACCCTGTAAACTGGAACCCCCCCTAACTTGAACAATTTTTCGCTTCCCTTAGCAGTTTAAGTTAGAGGGGTTTTGCTGTCGTTATATTGCTATAAGACCGGTTTAAATTTTCAGATGAACATGATGACAGAACCAGCGAGCCGTCGAGAGGTGGGGGAAAGTTCACGCGGGGCTCAAATCGAGGTGGGCGAGATAACTGGCGGGGTTCAAGCAGGGGTAGACGTGGTAACAGAAGTCGTGGCCGTGGTGGTAACAGAGGGCGTGGCCGAGGGAGTAAATGGTATTCGAGCGAGGAGTCTGAGGGAAATGATTTTGGTGGTGATGATGATGGTGATATTGACATGGAGTCTGGCTCAGAAAGATCGCAAAGTAGATAGTAAGTGCTGCTCATTTCTCTTTCAAATGTACCACAATGAATATGCAACATGAGCTCCACCTTTGAGTTTACTATATGAGTAAATTCTTAAACACGTCCGAATTTATCATTATGATAAATTCGCGGCACATTTTGAATTGATCAATAGAGTTAATCGTAAAACCACAAGCATTAGACAAGACTTCTTGTTATAAATGTAATGGCACTAATGGGTGGAGAGATTTTCAGAGAGAATGGGTGGAGAGATTTTCAAGATTTTCAAAAAAAGTTCTAAGAAAGTTTTAAAAGAGTTTTAAGGAAGAAAAAAGATTAAAAAGTTAGATTTTCAAAAAAGTTGAAAAAGTTGTGGTTAGTGGTTAGGGTTAGGGTTGGGGTTAGTGTTAGTGTTAGGGGGTTAGATGCCGCGAATTTATCATCATGATAAATTCAAAATGTGCCGCGAATTTATCATAATGATAAATTCGAACGTGTTTAAGAATTTACTCATATAGTAATTTCAAAGGTGGAGCTCATGCTGTGAATATCTGTGGATACAGTAGCTGTGCATGCTGGGGAGGGGGGTTGCGGCCCCAAGTCAGTGATTAGGCGGGCGAGCTACTTAGGGTAAATTCAAAATGCGCACATCAAAACTTAGTTGAAGTAAGAATTCTGGAGTTAAAGCGCCAACTTCAAAAATCATGTCGTGTACAGTTCTTATCTAAGCCTGGAGTTATACTGGCCATAGGCATATGGGAAGGGAAAAATTGGGGGGAGGGGAGGTGTGGCAGAAATGTTTGCATTTTGATCGGCGTATCGTACTAAAGGTCCAAAATTCTCGGGGAAGAAATTTTCGAAGGGCATTTTTGACTGTGAGATACTTCTCACATATTTCATGCTTTTAAATTTATTTACCCAATCGTTTCCCCCAACTTAGTTTGTAATTTACCCAACTTCAATACGCTTATGATTTTTAGGATGTTTACTGTGACTGTGTCTGTGCTGTACAATATTGATACATTTATATGTATAAAAATCTTTTTGTAACTTGGTCATTTCCCAAACCTTCTTTGCAATTTTCAGATCTCTTCATTTTAAAGTAGTTGACTTAGAAAGGACTGCAATATATGGGCGGTCCTTGTCTAGTTTATATTAACTTTGGAAAGTCAGAAAGTGCAAGGATGGTTTGGAACTCATTTATCGTGCGATGTAATTTTGTGTTGTAGCTTTGTTAAAATTTGTAACCCTGTCTCTATTGTTTCACAATGTCAATGTAATGTGTAGGTAGGACTTAATTTGGGACTCCCCAGTCTTGTTGTGTGTACCTTCAATCGTTTTGTTGATTGTAAAGTTTATAAATGATACTGGCTGCTCCGTACAATGATTGGCTACCACAAAAATAGAACCTACACGCATGAGCTCATGTACGAGACAATAATCATTGGAATACCAGTCAGATAGGACTTAAAATGTTCAGTTATCGCACCCTGCGGGCCTATAGGGTTTTTATAGGGTTTATCGGATAAACCCTATACATTTTGATTTTTATCACCGATGTTGTTTAATATCTTCATGCATTGTATTGTGTTTTATATTAGTACGCCTTACTCAAGGCCCTCGTATAGACAATCTGGAAGTAAATTTAACGATTCAAGAACCGTGGGTAACCAGTCCGGTGAAACTTGGAATAAAATAACGGTAATCACAAACTTACAATTACTACCGCATAATAGATACACAATGGCTTCTCGATCAAATGAACAATTATACCATGAGCTCGAGTCGTATATGAGCTGATAGCCGACGAGCTGCGTAGCACCGAGTCGGCTATCAGCCATATACGACGAGAGCGAATGGTTATTGTTTTATAGTATAGTCTAATAGCCATTATCTGAAGCAATAATTAATTATCCTCTGTTACGATGTCTTGACAATTTGTTCCGCCAAAAACCGCTTGGCCTTGAAAACCTGAAATACTTTTGTTTTACAACTCGAAGACGAAGTGAAAGAAATGGTTTTAGAACCGGTATATCTCACAGAAAAGCTCAGATATATTATACAGATGTTTGGTAGTATAGTGAGTCAGTGCTTGTTGACTGCAAATTCATTTTTCTTTCGTTGCAAACTTTTCTGAACAATTTATATTCTGAATGAACATGTTTTTTCGCTGTTGTTTTGGTATTAATTCTTTAAAAAACTTGTATTTAAACTAATTTCTATGTAATAAATGTATTTTGCTAACCTGTCAATTTTTTTGAGAGTTTTTCCTTGTACTATTATCTTTCTCAAAGCGAATATTTTCTTTTTTTCTGCTTCGTAAAACTTACTTGTAGTTTTTGGACCGCCATCTTGTTTTTCGCTACTCGCCGTACATGAGCTGATATATGGCGAGTAGTTCAACCAATCAGATTGCAGAATAGCTCATATACGGTGAATGACTATATTATAATAATATATATACAGGGTGTATTAAACAAAAAGGTAATCCAACTTTGGCATGTTGTCGTAAGTTATATATTACGTTTAACCATTTACGTTTTTCATACCAATGAAGATCAGGCTCATAGCTGTATGTCGAATGATACATTTTTTGTATCATTGCGATCAAAAATAGCCAAATACGATCCAATTTAAAAATGCCGGTCGAAATCGCATTTTTCTGAGTATTGAAATTATTCTCATTTGGGATTCAAAGTTAAGTCGCTTAAATCAAAATGGCGCAACGTATGTGTAAGCATCAAATTTTTGTGAATTTCGACTCGGAATTTTGCATCGAAATGGAGTGATGAAAACATTTTACAGAACTGGAAGTCTGCAGACTGGACTCGCAATGGCATACGTTTCCCAAATGGGCAACAAGCATTTGGGCGAATATGTTTGTGATGTTACTCTGAATGCATATCCACACCGGGCGAGCTTGAAAAATATGCCCGGCCACGGTGGGATTCGAACCTACGACCTTTGGAATACTAGCCCAATGCTCTTCCAACTGAGCTACGCGGTCAGGACGGTTCGAGTAAGTAATATCACTTACTCGAACCGTCCTGACCTCGTAGCTCAGTTGGAAGAGCATTGGGCTAGTATTCCAAAGGTCGTAGGTTCGAATCCCACCGTGGCCGGGCATATTTTTCAAGCTCGCCCGGTGTGGATATGCACTCAGAGTAACATCACAAACATATTATTCACCTGAGTACACAACACCAGCACAGAAAAAAATTTGGGCGAATGTTCGAAAATTAGAAGAAGGTCTATTGTTTGTCCGAACTCCGACGCGAGTGTATTGGTGTCCGACCCAGGGTGGGTTAGGATAAACACAGGGTGGGTTAGGATAAACACAGTTAGGAAATTAACATCTTAATTGTTGTAAAGATAAATAGTCTAGGCTAAGCAAGTAACATGACCGTAATACTTGATGTGATCGGTCACTGAAAAGCCCCAATGGGGAGTGAGCTAAGCCTGAGCAATAATGTAATGTAACTGTAGCTTTGTCCGACCTAATCACGTAAACCAAAATGTACGCTAGAATCAGAGTCAGGTCCAGGTCACACTACACAACGATAACGATACGATAACTTGTAAACACGCGATGGTTGGTCAAAAAAATTATGTTTGTGTTTACCCGTCTAACGAAAACGATAAAATTATTACCGTTCGATGATAACGATTTTAAAATCGCTCACCCGAGCTTTTTTTCAGTCTGACGATAACGATAAATATTTGACCAATCGGCGCGTGTATACAAGTTATCGTTATCGTTCTGTCTCCGGACTCAAAGTCATCGGACATTGTTGTTAGAGAATTTTGCACTGGTGTTTGAGATTAATTGCACTGAAATCAACCAATCACAGTCGAGTAATATTGTTACATGTATATAATTATAGAACGTATAACATCTAGTAATCTGTTTCACTAGATACCCAATGGCAGGAAACACGACAAGGAGTGGTTATTAAGCAGATTACAAAAGACATGTGAAGTTTCATTCCAGCCTGTTGAGGTACACAATCTTTGAAAATTCTATTAATTTGTTTACAGTATATTAGGTTAGCCTGTGTTGCTGGCATGCAACCCCTGGTTATGCCCATGTAGCCTACAACCCGTTTTTTTTGTATCTCAATATATGATTACTATTTCTTGATTTAGCTACGGTAAATATGTTAGATTATAGAGATTATAAAAGAATATAGCCTGCATTGCAGGAAAAGTTCGGGCAAACGAAAGGGACAATTTGGAGCTTGCTAATGGCGGCAAATGTGAGTTATACCCGGATGTAAAACCAAGAAAATCTATTTTTTCACCTTTTGGCTTCAGTTCAAGTTTTATCCAATTCAAGTTATTCAATCCTGGTTTTATCTACAGTCCTGACTGTTTTACAGTACATATATTTGTGGCGAAAAAGTGAGGATTTTCCTTTTTATATCATGGGGAATTTGGACGTGCCAAAGTTACGAAGAAAAAACCGTTCTTCAACATCGGGAAAAAAGCACTTTAAAATATTTCTACCGTTCCAACACTTGCTTTGTATTAAAGTTCAGGTATTCTTGTTGATTTTGAGCTTTTAGTCCATGCTTGAACTATTATTTTCGTAATTTTCCACTCCTCTTAAACATCACGGCTTTGCATCCGGAAATAAGAATGCACATCCGGGCAACGATATTTTAGCCAATCAGAGAGCGTCATTTGCCTCCATTGCATCGGAAGCTTCGATTTGTCCCTCGATAGAAAGAAATACCTGTATAAAAAATATGAAGAATATTCACACGGCTCTTAAAATACAGTCGGGCGGTGATGAGAATCCAGAATTTCCTGAGTCCTATTTCTTGAATTGAACTGATTCGAAACGTATTAAGTGCGGCGTATTTCAAAACAATTGTTTTGAAAGTTTTTATATCTTTAGTCACTTTTAACCTGAACATGGAGTTATACTCCGAAACGTAGTTATTAATGGTCTAATTAATATTCAAACACAGAATTAATAAAATGTGGCTTAGAGAAAGTTACGTCATACAAGGTTTGAAGAAATTCTGGAATTGTCAAATAAATGAAAGTTAATTTAAACAACCGCGGGCAGGTATATGCAGTTCATTCATTTCTCTAATCCCTCTATAGTTTCACCTTGCTCGAGAAAATGCTTGTTTCTTCGTGAATGATCAGCGTTCAGCAGATGCGTTGCGTCGTATCAGTGGTAAGGTGACTGTACGGGACGGCTCCAAGTTATACATTCAAGTACGGCAATGCCCACCACCAAAAATCACCAGTTCTGACCAAACGGACGGCGGAAGTTCCATAGACCAAGAAGTGTTAAAGGTTTGATAATTATTTTACTACTTGTTCATAGTCAGCTGAGAGACATTCTGAAACCTCAGACATTTCAAGCTCTAGATTAAGCAAAATAAAGGTTTGGTGTGTGTCCGAATTACGTTTTAGCTCAAGAGGAGACGTTACGTAACACGCGCAAAACTAATGAATATACTTTTCGATTTGGTTATGACTACATTTAATATTCTTTATTATATACATGACAAAATTACTGCAATCTGATTGGTTAAGAGGAGTGCAATTATTTCATTAATTGCACTCACCAGGAGTGCAATTAATGATTTTCGTGATGGCTGGGGGGAGCGGGAAATCAAAACAACAAAATCCAATATGGCGGCGAAATTTAAATAAGTATTTCTGACAAATGTGGACGAATTTAACTGAATTTTGGCACAAGAATGAGTTTAAAAAAGATTGTATGGCAACAAGAGCCTGTGGAAAATACCTGTAAGCAGTTTTGAGAAATAATCTCGGCGGGATGCAGCGAAACATGACTATGTAAGTTTGAAATACAATTCATAAAGATTTTCTTAGTCTAAAATATGTTGTTTGAGTTTGAATCTTATGTTCTAGTTTAAGTTATGTGCCTTTTTGAGTTTATAATCATTTCCCAAGTTTGTTTATACCAAATTGCTTACAAAAGAATTAAAAACTCTTGACAAAATGCAGTTGAATTTTAAAGAAAGCGATTTTGTCATGCATATAATAAATAAATAAATAATCACACGGGCAAGTCGTGCAATTAATGATTAACACTACTCGTGATATTTGAAAAATGTGCCAAATTGCACTCGCCTCGGCGGCTCGTGCAATTTTGGTACATTTTTCAAATATCACTCGTAGTGTTAATCATTAATTGCACTCCTTCCCGTGTGATTACCTATACTAATTTCTGATTCGTTTATTAAGCGGCAAACAATCTTAAAAAGTATGTTTCGTACTTTATCTGTAAAATTATGCTAAAATGAACAGATTTTAGGTGCAAAGAGAAAGCGATGTTTGAAGTTCAGTCAGTTTTGTTTATATTGCTGTATAAATGGCGTCATCGATGATAATTGTATTTAAATTGCCAATATACTTAAATATTACTTTGTGTTCCTCAACCGCAAAATACATTTAAAAAGGTTGCTAACTGTGTATAAACTACAAAATAAAGCTAAGACAAAGTAATTTTGAGAGGAACGCCAACATATTTTAGGTTTTGAGTACTTTTCATTGCAAATACGCGACATTGATGATATTAAGCTCTCTTGATACTCTTGCCTAGGATGATACTATATAACTATGATACTATATACTAAGAACAGTTAACCAAGGTTGATTATTGTTAGAACTATTTTTTCACTGAAATTACTCACGAGCAAAAATGGCTTTTTTACTTCCGGGAATCAATGCCAAGAACGTATAGTATTTCAACCCCATGGTTGAAAGTGCTCCATGTATAATCGGCCCCTACAAGAACAGTTATAATTATACATTTAATATGTATTCTCGTTTCTAATTGGTCAGAAAGCACCAGCTAATTTTCAGTATTCGGCATTTATTACGTATTTTCCGCCCATGACGTCATCAGCGTCCAATAATTGTTTTTTCGGATCGAACTTGCATCCAAAAAAAAAATATTGGACTCTCTCGTGCCCAAGCCCTTGCGCGGCCAAAAGCTTGAACCTATAAGCGCGCGGAAAAAACAAACAAACAATGGCCTACAGCAGATTTGCTTCGCTGAATGAAAGTGAACTCTCCAAATTATTGGCAGATAAGGGTAGTGAAAGCACGAAAAAAGACACAAAGGGATAAATAGAAGTAGAAATAGAATATTTAGCTGACCTTTGACTTTGTGCAAGGTGTTTGATATTCAAATTGTACTTTTCCTACCTCATGAACAGGAATCGTTTTATACGTTTCTCATGTCTTTAAATGTATAATAAAACAATTATTGGATCCGGCTTTCGCATGATATCAAGAATTATTCAGATCTCGGTCTATGTTATCCGCCTCAGCTTCGCTTCGGCAGATAACATTGATCTCGGTCTGAATAATTCTTGATATCATGCTCAGCCTCATCCAATAATTGCTTATTAGCCAAGGTTGATTATTGGTACAACATTTTCAATGTTCTCTTGCGGCTCCAGAGAGTAAATTATTTTTTCAACACCCCTTGCATGCTAACTGTATTTTGAAAAAATTTGAAAATCCATAAAATGGATATTGTATGGACCTTTATTGGAAACAGAATGGATTTTTCATTACCGTAATAATTGTATATTTCCATACTATGGATATAGTACCGAAATTAATAGTATGGATATACTGTAGTATGGATGTATGGATGGCGTATTGATGACATGTGTTAAATTAAGTTCAGTCTAATATTAACATTCTTGGAGTGCCTTACAGTCTGGTACGGGTTTGAGTATGTTGCAATTTAGATCACCAACGATGAGAACAGGCTTTCGTAAAAGAAGGGCTTGATTGTAGTTTGGTTTCAGCAAAGGATCAAATCAATTTAGCTGCGCAGTTAGGTGGACGATAGACAAGCATACTACGATATGTTTTAGTTTATTACACTGACGTTGTATTCACAGTTGATGGAAATTTTTATCCGAAATTGAAGATATAGGTCTTTCAGGCGGAATGCTTTGATGCTTCTGGCTACGTATAGGGACAGACACCGCCAACTTTCTTGTGGAGGCGATCAAGTCTAGTCAATTTATAACCCTCAATTTCGATTTCCACATTATATATTTATGGTATACTGTTTAACAACGTCTCTGAGATTGTAAATATATCTATGTTATATTAGTTGTGACAAACTCTATAGCTTCAATAAAATGTGATCGATTTTTTAATGACTTTATGTTGATAAATTAATAAATTTTTGCAAATTTAGTAGGATTTGACATTATTGTACAACAAAACACACTTACTACAATTTATTTTATTTAAGTTAATCAATTTTTAAGGTTACACTAGTAATGTTATGTTTCCTTATAATGAAGATGTTGTTCTAACAATCGAGCATATAACGATTCTATTTTTTTGTTTCAATAAGATAAGTCTATAGATTTTAGTTCCATGTAAATTTAGAACGTACTTAAATTAATTTGTTTAAAATTAAGAACATACTGGTTCTGCAGACGACCGTTCTTTTGCCGTTTAATTTCATTTCGTCTTTCTTTTGGACTTGATCCAAACTACAAGAAGATCTTTGTCAGTTGGAAGGAAATCAAGGGTGTTCTGCTGGTTAATTGAGAAGTTTTACTACTTTGCCTTTTTTTAATCTTTTGTGCCTTGTTGTTACTTATCCAAAATAATGAAGATCATTTATGGAGTCGCAATCTCGCGCGAAAACATTTCTTCAGCATCGTCTCTCCATGACGACGCAGCGCACTGTTCCTGTAGAAAAATATCAAACAATTCAAACTTGAATTTAAAGTGATGAATGTTTTTGCCCAAAGGTGAACAATGCGCAAAGTTTCATCACTCCAGTCTGCTTGTGCTCCAGTCAGTACCAATCCAAAGCAAACAATAACTGGGCAGTAACATACCAGCAAGCACGCTACCGCTAACAAACATGTAGACACTTTCCGCAAAGTTGCTTTGGATTTCATTTTCTGCTCAGACCCATTTAAATTTCCTACAGGTACTATCGCATGGTTACGTATTGTTCTCGCAATGTTGAATATTTTGTAGTTCAAACAAAATATTACAAATAAAACAGTTCCAATTAGAGAGAGTGAAGACGCTTTCTCAATGTATTCATTTGAATTACCGAATTCTGCCAAATGGTGTATACCAATTGGTAACTGAAACAGCACTAAGACAGCTATCAGTTTCGACCTTGTCACAAATTTCTCGTGAAAAAATGGATACATTAAAGCGAGATATCTTTCCAGAGTCATTGTTAAAAGCGCGGTCAACGAAAACATGGGCAAAAGTTTATGATATGGCACGTTGATAGAGTCAGTAAATCTTGTGAACACGTAGCTATATATAGTTTCCACGGTTATTAACGGATGAAAGACAACGACCACAGCGAGGTCGAAACTAGCCAGGACGAGAATCGTAAAGTAACATAATTTTCTGCGCAGTTGTGAATTTAGTAGACTGATTATGACAACAGAGTTTAGGAATATTCCAAAGAATGTGAAGATAACGTTAACAGCGCACAACAGTACTGCGTTGACTGTGAAGAAGACTGTTAAGTTCGATGTTGAGTTCATTTTGTAATTTTTACAAAGCCTTATACAGGCTCTTTCTATCTCTTCAAATACACTATCTAAACTGTACGTTTTGAAACCTCTTGAATCTACATCTAACAGCTGAAAACATCTGTTTAAAATATTTAACAAGATATAGTAGGGTATAATTGCAAATAGCATTTCTTAATACGTGCTGTATCTACTGAGCATTTTTTTAATTTAAATTTACTTTATCGATATAGGCAATCTCTTCATGATCCTATATATTGCCCAAAACTAGACTAGGGCAATCGAATAGGCAAAAACCGTACTTTGTATGCATGTCCGCTCGGTTTGAAAATGAGCAGTTGGAACAACCGGACCGGAAGTACTTTCAACTAAAATAATGGACAATCAATTTAACATAAAAACAATCAATTTAACGAACAAATTAATAAATCGAAATAACTTTTTATATAAAACTATACCCTGTTTGATTTAAAATAACAAAATCTAGAACAGCTATATATCAAAGATGAAATAAACTATAATATTGTATATTGCTAACTTAAATATTGATATATTACAACAATGTTTTAAATCGAACGAGCATTTTTGACAATGCTAAAAATTTGCATGAAATGGCCTATTAAACTAATTTCAGTGCAGACGAGTTGTGATTATTGGGCATTTCATTGAAGCCAACTGAAATTTCAAGTTGGCTTCAATGGGAACCACGTTTTGAGTTTGAGGTTTTCATGACCACGCTACTTTAATCTATGATCGGTTTGAATACGCTAATATTTTGTTGCGCGGATTGAGAAAAATTGCGTTTGCACGTATACGGAAAACGATAAACCCTATTATGACTCATGACGCATGCGCTAATTATTATAAAGAGTGCGCGGTACAGCTGTGTGTGTCATTAGCATAGGAGGATCTCAAATTTCATCGATTCGAAAAGTCCCGTTTTCGTTCGCCAATACGAATTCGCTATCATTTTCTTTTGAAAAGTTTTCACTCTGAAGACCGTATTCAATAGTTTGCCTTTTCGGTGTCCATATTCGTTGAACCGTGGGATACAGGAGGCAAATCCGCTAAAGAATATCCCTCTCTCTCTCTCTCAGACGAATCCGAATTTGTGCAGACGGGCCCCAGAATCTCTGTATATAGTCTTGCTAGGACTCCATATACATTTATATCGCGATCAAGTTGAACACTTTCAGTTAAACTATTTTTGGCGATCGTATAGCGGGTGTCCAAAAAAGAACTGGAAACTGTTTGATTTCATGTAACCTAAAAGCTATCGCAATGAAATAATGATCATTGCATTTAGAAAGGACTAACGTAGATTTTGATATAGCCTATAGCACTTGAATTTACATTCAATATTGACTGCGCATTTGATGTTTGAACGTGAACTACATGTACTGTTTTTGAAAATGCCAAAAAATAACATAAAACAGCCTTGTGATTACCGATGTAGTTATATTTGTTAAATAGTAAATATTTTTTATTTTGGTAAAGAAATCACGAAGAACAAGTTTGTTTACTATTTATTTGTTTTGATAAACACTAAATTTGCTAGAAAATGATCTCAAATTAAAGTTAATATCATATACCATAACAATATTTGTTTTGAAGAGGCGATCTTTCAAATTAGTTTAATAAATTATAGCCAATTTTCACCGGATTTTCATCAATTCCTAAAACGCATTCGAATTCAAACATTTGGATCTCGCTCAATAGTGCATGTAAATTCAAGTGTTATATATCAAAATCTACGTTAGTCCTTTCGGAAGGCAATGATCTTTATTTCGTTACCAGAAATCACACAGTGTCCATTTTTTTGGAGGGGGACACCCGGTACATCGAGAGGCCTAAAGCCCCACATAATTAGTGACTAAGTTTTGAATATATAATAATAATAATAATAGTTTTATTGATCCATCTTTAGTGTAAAAATACAATGGATTCACAGTAAAAATCTAAGTAGTAGTCTAGTAGTTATATGTACAGATAAAAATTGTAGGAATAGTTATAAAAATATTGTCTATAATAATGAGTTTGTTCTGGGAATGAACGATAGTTCATGCCTTTTAGTGTATGAGAAAATTCCGGGAAGAGTTTTTGGTGTTCTTAGGTCATACTTGTTCGTCACCATGTCTGGTATGTACTTCCTGCATGGGTGTGTTTCGTCATTAATGATTTTCTCGTACTCGCGAATGGAAAGTTTATCCCGACGTTGTTCTAGAGATTGAAGAGAATCAGAAGGTAGACCCATAATTTTCAGGCTTCTAGTCTGGATACTCTCCAGTTCGTCAGTAAGGTATTGTAGCAGGTCACCCCAAATTGGGGCCGCATATTCCAAAACCGGTCTTAATTTGGATTCATAGCACGTCAAACCCACATTAGTTGGTAGATCTGCTCGACGACACTCCCGTAGGTAGAATGTCCGATTAATATATTCATGTCCGATTAATATATTTTTATCGACGAAACACGACGCTTATTATTTCCCAAAGGTTTTAGTACGTACGAAAGGGTTTTATGTGAAAAACCTGGATATATAGTAATTGGATCAAAAACTTTGCAATAGAAATAAATGCGATGTATTAACAAAGAAAATATTGGCATACGAATGTAGACTGTAGAGTTTATTAATAAGTAGAATTTAATTATTAATGATGTAGAGCATTTTAATTCACTGTTATTCCTATGTGCCTCATCTGCGGAATCATTTGAATGTGCGCCTATGCTATTATTATCTTCATATTTATCCAGGATACCCACATCACCGAAGTGTTTTTCAGTGGGGTCCTGCAACTTTAAATGACAGTATATTAATTCAATATTTAGTCATGCACTATTTACAGCAACACATATATACAATATAATTATTTAAGAGTATTAATAAAGTCTGATTTCCACTCCAGTCGAAACGAAACACAACGCACTTCTTTGTTTCAAGGGCATAAAATTCTATATCTGAATGTGGAAAACAGATTGAAGTGGAAAACAGATAAAGATTGAGAGAGAAAGATAAGTATAAGTGAAGAAGTCATATAGTGGAGGACGAAAGAGAATGAGAGGTTTATACCTCGTATACACACCGTCTTTTTAATAGTTTTTTAAAGTTATGTAATGAATGCTATCTTGTACGTGTAGTTGAAACATGGAAAATTTTATTAAATCCATCATGCATGGGTCCATATAATTATGTACAGGCACGATATCTCGAGTCTTGAGCTTGGATTAACTAATGATTTGTCACTTTAAGACCGTTTTCCACTAGGCAGAATTTTTCGCGCGGAGCGGAATTTCTCTTTGTCTTGTGATTTCTCGGGTGGAACTAATTAGAAAAGACAAAGAGAAATTCCACTCCGCGCGGAAAATTCCGCCTATATATATATATATATATATATATATATATATATATATATATATATATATATATATATATATATATATATATATATATATATATATATATATCTGTGGCTTGTTTAAAACCGTAATAAACGAAGAAAGACGTGATATGACAATGAAATGTAAGTTAAAATTAACTTTATATGCCTCATATTTTCCATCCTATGTTTCTTAATGTGATTTCCAGGGGCCGGTTGTATAAAAACGTAATTAGCGCTAACTGTAGTTAGCGTTAATCACTGTAGTTAAATCCTTAACTATAATTAGTTAACTACATGACTTAACTGCGTTGCACAAAACGTAGTTAGTCGGATAGTTAACTAATCACGTATTTAACTAACGCTGACACACATTTTCAACATGATTGTGGACTCGTATTTTGCAAATAGGCGGGAATTTTATTCAAAACAGTGAAAAATAAACAAGAAAACAAGGAAAAACCGCCTCAAAAATCATAAAAGAATGCAGTTTTTCCTTGAGATGTCTACGGTAAACCAAGGTCTAGCTGTTTGGCAATTATATATCAGTGTTTCTAGGTGTAATGGACCATACTTCGTCTTCGAGAAATCGTCCTGTGCAAAAATATGTTCTGTTTTCGTAAAAACACCAAAGCGATAGCGTTTGAAGAGTTTATATTGTCAGGAAACATTCACAGGGAAGATAGCGATTGAAAATCTCAGGTAAGCGTTGCTTTTCATTGTTGTTTTACTGAAAAATGTTGTTCACTCCTATACAAGCGCCATTTTTAACTACGTTTTGGACAGTTAACTATACCCTAAAGCATAGTTAACTTTAACTACTTTTTAACTGCAGTTAAGGCTAACTACACTTTTATACAACCGGCTTAACTACGTGATTAAAGTTAACTATTTTTTAAGGCTTTTTAACTACTTTTTAACTGCAGTTAGCGCTAACTACGTTTTTATACAACCGTTTTTATACAAGGGTCTAGTTTGAAAGTTTAGCTATTAATTTCGATTTCATGAGCTTATTTTGGTTACACGTTAAATATTTTTGTACTTGATGAGATTCAAATTTGTTGTCTATTCAAGCCCGGCTTTAGTGTAATTTTGGTGATGACCAGAACAGAAATAAAGATATTTTAAAAACTGGCTGTGGCCTCACGATAAAACTTTCTAAAAATGTTCTCTGTTTCATGTATTTTTATTTGATATCTTAGGTATAAGCGTAAAAATAGGGGCTCATACAGTTTACGAGGTTGTAAAGTGCATGACTTGCCTTTATTTTCATGTAAACATTCGAAATTTTTCGACAGCAAAGTAGCAACTGTTTCAGATCGAATGCACACGGACAGCCCACCAGAGACAATGTCAGGGTACTGAAATAGAACGTCACTAAAAAATTCTGGATGACTAATTTAGATCATGTCCATTTTCAACATAAAACAGTAATTTATTTTGTACAAACATTTGGCAATATTTACACGATTGTGCCTTTTTGTAAACACGCGTTGCGTGTATTCCACGCAATTGTGTGGCTCATTTTGCTCGCGCATGCTCAGACAAATTTCCCACCTGTTCTATTTTGTATAAGGGCAAAGTCATTGTTTGTTTTAAAGTAGCTAAAATTGGGAGTCTTCCTGCTTGTTTTCAAACTATATAATAGAAGAAAAGAAGGAGAAAAAGCCAGAGTATACTTAACGTCTAAACACTGACACTGGTGTGCGTAAATATAGCAAAGGCAAAGCCACGGAATATAATACAAGTGAGCAAGTGACCTCGGTGTACCTCAAGACCAAGCCAGTTAAAAGTGAGTTTTTCATGTTTATTGGATTTAAAAAGATAACTTTTCTACATAATTGTGCATTTCAATAACTATCCCATGCTCTTTCATCCGAAATAATCATTGTTTTATCTTCAAACTCCGAGTTTATCCGCCGTATAGCGATTTAAACGGTCTCAAGAGACCGTATAAGTTTACACGGTGGATAGGCGAAATTTAACCGGTGGATAGCCCTAACTAAAACGAGTTCCGTATTTAACTACGTCACAAATCTTAGACGCTGTAATTGTGGGACGTATTTTATTATATTTCATGCGCATGCGCTTGAACTTTTTCTGTGTTTTTCAATAAGATATTACTGAACTGAATACTGTATGGATTTTTATTGTGCCGTACTCTAAATGTTTGTGATCATGAAGTGACGGGTGACGGCCGTCAAGAAGTGAGGAACATCTATATATTTCAAATTATTTTTTAGAATATTGCGATGGTATTTTACCAACCGCGAAGGCCAGTGTGCTGTGAACGCCTGAGCAGGCGTCTTGTTGTTTTTAAATTGACAATACTTAAATATTACTTTGTGTTTCTCAGCCGCTAACTGTGTATAAACTACAAAATAAAGCTAAAACAAAGTAATTTGGAGAGGAACGCCAAAATAGTTTAGGTTTTGAGCACTTTTCATTGCAAAGACGCGACATTGACGATATTAAGCTCTCTTGATACTCTTGCCTATAGATGATACTAATAGTGTTGAAAAACCATTATAAGAACAGTTAACCAAGGTTGATTATTGCCAGAACTAGTTTTTCACTGAAATTACTCAGGAGCAAAAATGGAGGCTTTTTTTTACTTCCGGGAATCAATGCCAAGAACGTATAGCATTTCAACCCCAGGGTTGAAATCGTCCATGTAATCGCAAAAAATTTCAACCCGGTTAACTGGGCTGAGTTCAACCCTGAGGTTGAAAGTGCTCCATGGCCATGTATAATCGACCCCTAAGAAGAGTTAACCAAGGTTGATTATTGGTACAACATTTTCAATATTCTCTCGCGGCCCCAGAAAGTAACTGTATACACTGGAGAAAAATTTGAAAATCCATAAAATGGGAATTGTATCGACCTTTATTGGAAACAGAATGGATTTTTGATTATCCATAATAATTGTATATTTCCATACTATGGATATAGTATCGAAATACTATGGATATACTATCATGGAAGTATGGATGGCGTATTGATGCCTTACAGTCTGGTACGGGTTTGAGTATGTTGCAATTTAGATCACCAACGATGAGAACAGGCTTTCGTAAAAGAAAGGCTTGATTGTAGTTCGGTTTCAGCGAAAGATCAAAGCAATTTAGCTTTGCAGTTAGGTGGACGATAGACAAGCGGCATACTACGATATGTTTTAGTTTATTACACTGACGTTGTATCCACAGTTGATGGAAATTTATATCCGAAATTGAAGATATAGGTCTTTCAGGCGGAATACGTTGATGCTTCTGGCTACGTATAGGCACAGACACCGCCATCTTTCTTGTGGAGGCGATCAAGTCTAGTCAATTTATAACCCTCAATTTCAATTTCGACATTTATGGTATACTGTTTAACAACGCGTCTCTGAGATTGTAAATATATCTATGTTATATTAGATGTGACAAACTCTCTAGCTTCAATAAAATGTGATCGATTTTTTAATGACTTTATTTTGAAATGGGCAGTCTTTAATTTCAGGTGTTTGTCGCTCCCCCTCTTAAAATCTTCTTAGTTCAGTTTCAAGGACAGCGCTGAATAATAAGATTGAAACAATCTTTGATAAATTAATACATTTTTTCAAATTTAATAGGATTTGTCATTATTGTACAATATAACACACTTACTACAATTTATTTTATTTAATCAATTTTTAAGGTTACATTAGCAATGTTATGTTTCCTTATAATGAAGATGATATTCTATAACAATCGAGCATATAACGATTCTATTTTTTTGTTTCAATAAGATAAGTCTATATATATAGATTTTAGTTCTATGTAAATTTAGAACGTACTTAAATTAATTCATCTAAATTAAGAACATACTGGTTCTGCAGACGACCGTTCTTTTGCCGTTTAATTTCATTTCGTCTTTCTTTTGTAACTTGCTCCAAACTACAAGAATATCTTTGTCAGTTGGAAGGAAATCAAGGGCGTTCTGCTGGTTAATTGGGAAGCTTTACCACTTTGCTTTTTTTTTCTTCTTTTCTTCCTTGTTCTTACTTATCCAAAATAATGAAGATCACTTATGGAGTCGCAATCTCGCGCGAAAACATTTCTTCAGCATCATCTCTCCATGACGACGCAGCGCACTGTTCCTGTAGAAAAATATCAAACAGTTCAAACTTGAATTTAAAGTGATGAATGTTTTTGCCCAAAGATGGACAATGCGCAAAGTTTCATCACTCCAGTCTGCTTGTGCTCCGGTCAGTGCCAATCCAAAGCGAACAATAGTTGGGCAGTAACATACCAGCAAGCACACTACCGCTAACAAACATGTAGACACTTTCCGCAAAGTCACTTTGGATTTCTTTTTCTGCTCAGACCCATTTAAATTTCCTACAGGTACAATCGCGCGGTTACGTACTGTTTTCGCAATATAGAATATTTTGTAGTTCAAACAAAATATTACAAATACAACAATTCCAATTAGAGAGAGTGAAAAAGCTTGCTGAATGTATTCATCTGAATTACCGAATCTTGCCATTCTGTATATACCAATTGGTAACTGAAACAGCACTAAGAGAGCTATCAGTTTCGACCTTGTCACAAATTTCT